GTTGGTGTGAGTGAAGAGGGAAGAATAAATGGAGAACAGAGGATGTTTAGAACAGTGAAACTATTCTGCATGATACTATAATGATGGATACATGTCATTGTACGTTTGTCAAAACCTATGGAATGTACAACACCAAGAGTGAACCCTAAACTGAACTATAACTTTTGAGTGATAATGATGTGTCAGTGTAGGTTCATTGATTATAACAAATATACCACTCTGGTTGGGGATGTCGATAGTAGAGGAGAATATACATGTTGCAGAGGAGTTGGTTAAGATGTGGGAAATTTCTGTACTTTCTGCTCAATTTTGCTGTGAACCTAAAGCAATTTTAAAAATAAATTCTAATTTTTTAAAAAAACAATAAGATACCACCTCACACCCATTAGGTTGTCTACTATCCAAAAACAAAAGCAAAAAACAAAAAACAAAAAACAAAATAACAAGTGTTGGTGAGGATGTGGAGAAATTGGAACGCTTGTGCATGTTGGTGGGAATGTAAAACAGTGTAGCCACTGTGGAAAATAGTATGGGTGTTCCTCAAAAATTTAAAATAGAATTACCACATGATCCAGAGATTACACTTCTGGATATAGACCTAAAAGAATTGAAAGCAGAGTCTCAAAGAGATACTTGTACACCCATGCTCATAGCAGCATTATTCAAAATAGCCAAGAGGTGAACACAACCCAAATATCCTTCAACAGATGAATGAATAAATAGGCAAATGTAGGATATACAAACAATGGAATGTTATTCAACCTTAAAAAGGAAAGAAATTCTAAAACATACCACAACATGGATGAATCTTTAGGACATTACGCAAGTATAATAAGCCAGTCACAAAAAGACAAGTACCGCATGATTCCACTCACATGAGGTATCTAAAGAAGTCAGATTCATAAAGTTGGAAAGCCGAATGGTGGTTGCCAGGGGCTAGAAGGAGGGAGAAAAGTGGCAATATTGTTCAATGGGTACAGAGTTTGAGCTTCATAAGATGAAAAATTTTTGGAGATTGCACAACAAAGTGAATATACTTAACACTCCTGAACTGCACACTTAAAATGGTTAAGATGGTATATTTTATGTTATGTGTATTTTACCACAATTAAAAATAAAATAAGAAGTGCTCAGCCTTCCTTAGGTATTAAGAAACTCAAACACTGAAAAGGAAAGACATTTGATTAAGCTTCAATAAAGCCAATGATACCAGACAAAATCAAAAGGCAAAAATTAAATCAAGGATGGGGGGATATTTGCAACCTTTGTGACAGGCAAAAGGCTGATAATATCACCAATGTACTATGCCAAGGACACTTATGACCCAAAAAGAAAAAGGTGAAAAATCTAAGAGAAAAATGAACCAGCTATTCTCAGAGAAAGACAAAAAAGTTAATAAAGGCCAAATATATTCATTCTCATTAGTTACCAAATAATTTCAAATTTCAATTTTAGAACAGGAAGATGCTAAGTGTCTCCTTTCAGTTTAGGAAAAATTGAAAAGATGAATAATTGCCAATGTTCCACATGGTTCTTTTGGGCACAAGGAGAGCCAGCTGAGCACAGTGGCTCAGTTGACACCTATTTCACATTTTCCTTTTTTTTTTTTTTAAACCATTGACGTATTACTATTATAATCAGGAAAAAAGGTAAACAATTCTTAGGTGGTGAGTCATATGAAAATTAACAAGTTTCCACATGTTATAAACAAATGTACTGGACAAAAAACATCGATGCTCAGTGTCTGAGAGTGTGTGGAGAGGTGGTCTCACATACTGCTGGCAGAAGTGTAAACTTGTACAAACTTTTTGGAGGACGGCTTGGCAGTTTCCATCAATATTTCAAATGTTCTTGCTTTAACGAACAGTTCAGTTTAAGAAATTTACCAGATAAATATACTCACACATGCACAAAGGTGCATATAAAGTTTTATTATGAAATTGCAGCAATGTTCGTGTAAGTAAAAAATTAGAAATGACCCAAGAACCCATCAATAGGATATTGGTTAAATAATTTATGGTATATGCTTACTATAGAAAACTATGGCAGGGTTTTTAAAATTACCTAAAGTGATTTGGAAAGACAGCCGAGAATATTATTGAAAAAACATGGTGAGTTTCAGAACAGTTGTAAAAACATATGTTATAACATAATCCTATTTTTATGAAGTAATATAATAACCTTGGAAAAATCTGAAAACAATCTGAAAGCATACACACCATACTGTTAACAGTGGCCATCTCTGACTCAGGCCTGTGTGAGGTTGTAAGGGACGTTTGCTTTTTATTTATTTATATATCATTTATTTATTTATTTATTTTTAGGTGAGGCAACCCTTGGTTGACCTCACAGATGGCAAGGACCTTGTCAGCTTACAATCCCTTGTTTTTTTATTTTTTACACCTACAGCACCTGGTCTTCCTAGTGATCTCCCACCCAAGTACTAACTAGGTCCGACCTTGCTTAGCTTCCGAGATCAGACGGGATCGGGCTTGTTCAGGGTAGCATGGCTGGAGACTGACATTTGCTTTTTAAAATGAACATTTTTGCCTTCTTCGAATTTTTTGCATTGACTTTTGAAACCAGGGGGAAAAAAGTGCTAAGGGTGGGTTTGCTCATACTAGAAAAAAAATGAATACTTCTGGCACCTGGGTTAACCTGCCACCTCCCCTACCTCCTTCTCTCTATCAAACTCAAGGCAGACTCCACCTCCCTAAGCATTTCCTATGGGCTCCGGTTTATTCAGACAGCCTTCCTTTCTGTTCTCTGAGCTCTGTGGACCCTGAGTCACAACAGATTCCCTTTGATTACAGGCTCTTTATCGTTTATCAGCTTACTGCACCAACCAAGGTGCAAAGGTCCACCTGGCCTCAGTGCTGAATGATTAGAAGGGAGTGGAGCCAATCCTGCCACAGTGAAGGGAAACAATGCCCCTCTGGACCCCTGATCAGGGCAAAGGAGACTGGCGCCCCATCCCCGCCCAGGGTGGGAGACTTGGAGGGGAGATCACCATCTTGGTACTACTCTTAGTTGCCTCTCCCAGCCAGGACTGACAAATCTGTTCCTGCTGGACAGCTCCCACCTCAGTGTCTGCTTCGCATGCCCCCATCAAACCACCACATGAGGACTTTCCCTGCAAGGCTCAGGGACCTGCAAGGCTCGGGGAAGCTTTCCAGGAGTCCTGGACTTTAGTCCTAGTGCTAAGCACGCAGGACAGTGGTCAAAAGATGAGAAAGTATGTGCCACGATAGCTACAGTGTCCCCACAGGGGGTTCTCTCAGCAGCAGGAACTCCTTAGCCACACCCCTCAGTTCTCGGTTAACGGGAAGACAGACCTGCACCAAGCCATCGTTCCAGAACACCGGAAGCCACCAGAACTCTCATATAGTGTCTCCAAAGTGGGTGCAATTGTTCCTAGTCTGGTGCAAGCCCAGGACAGCTAAAAGCCGAAGAGAAATGTCATCCAAACCTGGGAAAGAAATGCCCTGTGTCCTACTCACTTGCTACCACTCATACAAACTCCTAAGCCCTGGGCTGAGTCACCTGGGGTCCCAGGACACTTTAAGCAGGTGTTCAATGCATGATGCATGCTTCTTCTGGTGAACGGTAGGTATCCTGGGCACTTGGGCAGGGGAGGGGTTTAAAACACAAATAGCTGAGCCCCACCCCCAGGGTCATCTGGGTGAAGCCTGAGAATCTGTACTTCTAACAGAGTCCCAGGTCAAGTTGATGCTGCCTTCCATTGGGACAAGGACTATATTTTGGGAACTGCTGCGTTTAAAGATGGGGCAGTCAGGAGGGCCAGTCAGGAAGCTGTGATGGCTCCAGGCCAGACAGGACCAGAGCCTGAAGCAAGGCAGGGCCAGCAGGGATGGACCAGGAGGGCCGGAAGGGAGGACACAGAGCTGAGAGACATTTCTAAGGGGAGGGCCACCAGGAAAGGTGCCCAGGTGGTTGTGGAGCATGAGAGGGAGTGAGGCGTCTAGACTGATTGGGGGTTTCTAGCTTGAAGGGCCAAGTGGAAGGACTCAGGTAGGAAACCCAGGAGGCATACCAGCACTGAGGGTAGGGGACAAGGGTTCAGTTTTGCAGCATTCTCTGGGTGGGTATGTCCCATAGACAATTGGTAATTTTAGTCTGGGTTGGGCATGAGGTAGTTGGACTGTGGGAATGTGGAGTTGAAGGTTATTGCCACAGAGGTGGTAGCTGATGATATGGGAAATATAGCAGCTGTCCAGGAAGAATACATGAATTATAAAAAGAGCAGGAACCACAGGACTGCGAAAAATTCTACCAGCGCATGAGTCTTGTTAGGTGTGCTTAACTCCAAGGCAGCTCTCTTGCTCTGTGATTCCCAATATTTAGGGACTGGTAGAGGAAATCCAGGAAGGAAGGGAAAACGGTAGGAGACAGTGAAGTTCTAGAGACAGCTTAAGATGTCCTGGGATCCCAGGTGACTTAGCCAGGGCTTAGGAGCTTGTGTGAGGGGCAGTAGGTGAGTAGGACACAGGACATTTCTTTCCCAGGCATGGATGACATTTCTCTTGAGCTTTTAGCTGTCCTGGGCTTGCACCAGACCAGGTACAATTGCATCCACATTGGGGACACTGCATGGGTGTCCCAGGCCAGCCGAGATGGCGCATAGCAGGGCCTTAGTAGGGAGGTGTGGAGGGAGGAGGCCCACTGCCATTCTTGGTATGGTTCTCTTTCCAGGAGCCGAGCTACATCTGGCCTCACTCTGGGCAGCTTATAAGGCCTGATGTGAGTTTTGTTTATGAAAGTGCAGCATAAAAGGAACAAATCCTCCAGCACCAGGGCTGTTGCCACTCAAGTCCTTTTGCATACATTTTTCAAATGATAATGCACTCTACCCAACCCCCTTCTCCACCCCTCAAGGCCGATTTATTGAAAAAAACACCTTATATGGTAATATTGCTAACACACCGTCAGCTGGCCTTTTTAGGGACTCTGTTTAAAGAAGATCCGCCTCTGGGTTTTATATTGCTCTGGTATTTTTGCCCAAGACACACCAGCCCTCAGTCACTGGGAGAAGGACTTCTCATACGTTTGGTGAGTACCATACAGCTTCTGGCAGCTCTTCCTTCCTGGGGCTGCCTGGCCCCCTGGGTGCAGGAGCATCTCTAGATTGGCCTGGCTTCCGTGACACTGGCCCGGGTCACACGTTGAGGCCCTCGGTGGGCAGGAGTGCCTGCAAATACACTGCTGCCTGCCAGTAAAAGGCATTTCTGGCCGTGGGGCATCCTGGGGCAGGGGCAGACCAGAACAGCGCTCCCTGCCCTACTAACTGGGTGGTGGGTAGAATATCACATCTGCACTGTGGTCTCTACTCGCCCTGATTGCCAAGGGCAGTGCACGTCTGTACTCTCACATCCTTCATCATGACTCCAAATGTCTGGCAGACTGCTTAAGGGGGGCGGATGCTTTTTGGAAAGCCCGCTTCTTCTCAGGGTATTTGTATCAAAGCCAATGACGTCCAGTGTCGGCGAGATGATTGTGTTCAGAATAAGAGTGTATTCAGTTTCCTGCGGGTCTCATTGTCCTCCGATTTGTGCTTGGCTTAGGTGAACAGAGAATTTTCTCATCCTTTGAAGACTCCAGGGTCACTGGGGGATGTTTAAAGTTAGGGATAGCATAGGGACGAGCATTCTGTGGCATGGAGCAGTTTTAGGGATAGAAGGAACGTAGAACCATCTAATTCATTCTCTGATGAGGATGCTGAGGCCTACAGAAGTGACTTGTCCAAAAGACTCACACCCACCTGTGAAACCACCTGTCAATGCAATTATTCTCCCACACACACCCCACTTCACACACACACACACACACACACACACACACACACACACACAAATAATTAAGAGGAAAATGACAACAAGGGGCTGTTTCCACTTTGTGATCAATCTGCTAACATTTCTTTATGGCTGAGGCAAGCTGGTGCAGTGGAGCAGGCCTTGGAGGCAGACTGCCAGCTACCAAAGTTACTGAGTAACCCCAGTTTGCTCTCTTGTAAAATGAGAGTAATAGTAATACTATCTACTTGGCAGTACTGTTGTGAGGATTAAATGAGGCAATATATGTATAAAGGGCTCGGCTCAGCACTGTCCCTGAGTGCTCAAACTTTAAGAACCACCTGGAGGGCTGGTTAAAACACAGACAGCATACACCCCACCCCAGATTTCAATTCAGGAGGCTGGGTTGGGGCCCGCTAATTCTCATTCCGAATAACCTCCCAGGTGGTGCTGAGATTGTAGGTCTGGGACCACACTTTACACAGGAAGGCTCTTAAGTGCTTGCTTTTATTATTTAAATGGTTTAGACTTTTAGATTATCCCTTGGGCTGAAAAGAGAGCTTCTTGTGACAGAGAGGAGTGGGTGCTGGAGAAACTGCCAAGAGCAGAGAGATTCTACATGCTGGCCTGGGAAACCAAGATAGGTGGTATGACATTCTGACCTTGAGGTGCTATTTCTTTCCTCCTTCCTTTCATTCATTCCGCTAACATTTATTGAGCACTTATTATGGGTCAGACGTTGTCTCAGCTTCTTAGGGACAGTTTTGGGACTTCTGCAATCATTGTGTAAGTCAGAAAAACAGGTGAGAACCATAGAACAAGTAAATGTATGAAAAGGCTCCAAGAGGAGCTTCTCACTCAGCCCAGGGGTTATCAGGGAATGCTTCCTGGAGGAAGAGGTCCCGAAGTTGAGATTGTCCCAGTAGAGAGGAAGCATGATCTTTGGGACACTTTAAGTGGCTCGACTCTACTGAATTTAGACTTCAAGGCAGGAAACAGGGAGAGCTAATATCAGAGGGCCAGGTAGACTGGATTATAAGGGTTTTGTATATACTACACCAAAAGATTGGGCAACGGGGAACTCCAGAAAGGTGATGGAAAAGATCTGTCCTTTGAAGAGATTTCTCTGGCAGCTGTGAGGAGAGTTGACCGGAACAGAGCAAGAGTGCTACTGCTGTGTGTAAGTGGTACTGAACTGGTCATGCAGGGTGGTATGGAGATAGAATTAAGACAGCCTAGGGATTGGTTGGGAGGGAGGAGAGAGGAGTCAGGGTGTTGGGTGTAGGCTCTAGGGAGGGTGGCATGATTCTCTGAAGGGCGATTCCAGTTTAGAGGGTGGCGATGGGGACAGCAGTCTTGGAAGTGGAGTTAAGGTGCCAAGGGGCATGAGGTGTAGATGCCCAGCAGGCAGCTGACTCTGCCTATCTGCAGCCTAGGAGGGGGTCCTGGACTGAGCCAGGGGAATGAATGAGAGGCCCAGAGAAAAGCCAGCAGAGCAGGTCCAAATAGCAGAATGCTGAGGATCAGAAATATCACTAACCAGGAATAATTTTAAATTTAATCAATATATATATATCTACCAAGTCTAGATACCCTGAAGTTAATTATAGGTAGTACTAGAATTTTTCACTGCAGGAATGTTTTTCATGAAATGATTTCCCTCTGCCAGGCTCTTTGATCATGTGAATATGTGTGTGTGCAAATTATAATTGGCAGCTGCTTACTTGTCATTGGAAGCCCTCACCTCCAAGGTCTCCCCACTATTGTTTGAAGTCTCACCATCTGACGGGCCTTCCTTTTAGGGCTTAAACTTTCTGCTAATTTCCAAACTGACTTTGGAAACTAACATAAATTCAGGCTTTAATAACCATTGATTTGTGAAGTGGATCATTCAGCTCCTTTCAGCATGACAGACTTCATCCTGAGTGCAAGTTTTGACGGAGAAGAGTAAGAGAGAAAATAAAAAGTATTATTTTTGCAGACTTTTACTATAGGGATGGACAAACTTTTCCTGTAGAGGGCCAGATAGTAAATATTTTAGGCTTTCTGAACCTAAATGTCTCTGTTGCAACTGTTCAACTCTGTCATAGCAATGGCAGCCAAAGACAGTATGTAAATGAACAAAGAGCATGGCCACGTTCCAATAAAACTTATTTGTAGATATTGATATGTGAATTTCATATAACTCTTTGAGTTATGGAAATATTTCTCTTTGGCTTTTTGGCAACCATCGAAAAATGTCAAAACCATTCTTAGCTCATGGACCACACAGAAAGAGGCCTTAGTTTGCCAACCCTGATGTACAATTTATAAAGCACTTTCGTTTCCATTATTTCATTTGATTCATCACCCCAAGAGATAGATGCTATGGTTTCCATTTCATAGTTGAGGAAACTGAAAGCCAGAGAAGGAGACAAAGAACTGGGCTACAGGAAGAGGATGCCTGGAGGAGGAGAAGGGCAAAGAAAAGAGAGGTGGAAGGAACTCTGACACCAAACCTTCAGAATGACAGGGAATGGGTTCAAAGCCTCTGTCCTCGTACTTGCTTGTGAGGTGGGTAGGGACATGAGTGAGTGAGCAAATTTTTTGCACTCAATACGTTTTTGGTTTTTGGCCACCTTTGGGGCGAGGTGGGGGAGGGGCAGGTAGCTAACTTCGTGAAATCCTCAACGAAGCCCAGATGTAGTACCAGCTGACAGAGCCAGAACACTTTACTCAGCTTTCGGCAAGTATAAAGCAGTTGTGACCCCAGGAAACCACAGTGACTTTGGCTCTGGTTCAGCTGACACACTCAAGTCTAGCCACAAGTTACCAGCAAACAGCTGAGGAAGGTGTAGAATTTCCCCCCGCCCCGCAGAGACACTCCGGAGGAGTCAGGCTCCGTGGCAAAGCCCTTCTTCCCAGGGCAGCGTGGGGCCCCGCAGAGGCTTTGGTCCAGGCCAGCAGCCCTAACCCCACCTTCGCTTCCCTCGCTTCTCTCACTTTTCCTTTGGTACCACCTTTGAGAAAGCAGATTTAAATTCACCCAAAGCGCTGCAGAATGGTACTGTTGACAGCTTTATGTCATTTCGTGGCTTGTCTCAGATGCTGGGTAACAAAGTCCAACGCCCTCTTTCTGTATGGGAGGTGGGGGAGAACTCAGGGAGAGACAAAAGGGCTCACTGAAAGCCAGACAGGCTTGAGCTATAAATCGCAAGAGAGAGATCCTGAGGGGACCCTAGAGTGGGATAGTCACGGGGTGTGGCTTTGCCTCTTGGCCACCTTCTAGCTTTCAAGGTCGCATTCCCCTCACGGTGGACCCCCTGCCAGAACAGAGAGGCATAACCGTTGGCTGAACAGCTTGTAAAGAGAAAACTGTTTCTGTGTGGTTCTAAATCAGGCCCATGTAACCAAGCTGTCATGAGACTGGACTGTGGGGACCTAGGGAAACCAGGGGCAGCGCAGACCAGGTCTGGGTAGGCACCACTCACGTGGTAGAATTGTCATTCGACATTTATTGATCACCTACTATGTGCTGAACAGTGAGATGGGGCAGGGGCTATAAACATAAATTTAATTGTAATCCAGGCATTGGAGAGACTCAGAGGCTCAGAGAGAGGAAAGAACATAGACCCTTTTGTTTTAGGGCTTTGATGCTAACAGTTCTAAAGAGATAGAGAGGCAGATGTGAAAACACCAAACATGGAGAAGTTATGACAGTTTCACAAAGGTGGTGACGAAAGGTACAAGCTCAGGCTTTGGAACCTGTCTTGGCGATGTCAGCCCTGCCTCTTCCCAGCTAGGAGAACTTGGGCTGTTTCTTCTCAATTCTCTAAGACTTGGTTTCCAAATCTGTAAACGAAGATAAAAATATCTTCCCTCAGGACTTTGTGAAGATTAAATATACGTGAAGGGCTCCTAATTTTTTAAAATTAAAAATACATTTTTTTTTTTTACTCAACACTGGAAACACTGAAATACTGCTGTGTTTCACCTAATAAAGCAGCTGTAACTTTTCCACTGCATTAAATATTCTGCTCTCTCCACTGTATGGAGGTTTCTGGCAATTGGTTTGCAAAATAATTTATTTGTTATTCAATAACTTTTTCAATATTAAAGTTGTTTCTGATTTTGGTTATTTTAAACAAACCTATGATAAACTAGTTCTTGGCCAAATCTTTGAAGTCACCCATGAGTGTTTCCCAAGAATAAATCCTTAGAAGTGCCTTTATGAAGTCAAAGGATATATACATTTTATATCAAAAGATATTGATATATACATTTTAAGTCTCTTGAATAGCATTTCCAAATTCCTCTTCCAAAAAGTATTACAATTTGACATGTCAGCAGTGAATGCAAGCCCACTTCCCCACACTTTTCCCAGCAGGTCTGTCCCCCAAAACTGGACACAGTACTCTAACTAGAGGTGAGGTTAGCACTTATCCTGGTCTCAGAATGCAGCTGACTATCGATGAGACCCCAGGACCTGCTCACAGGTGCTGAATGAGAACTTTCACAGTTTGGTTATTTAGACTCACATGCAAAACGTCATATTTATTCTATTAAATTTAATCTTACTAGATTCAGCTTATTTTCTCTTCTAGGTTTCGGTTCTTCCATTCAACATATTTAATATTACTTTCTCCCCAGGTCTGTTTTATCTGAAAATTTGATCAGCATGTGCTCTATATTTTCATGCAACTCATTTATTATAATGTCACATGAGAAAGAAAAACAAGAGTAGAGCCCTGAGGCATATCGCTGTCTCCAGGTTGATGCTGACCCATCAATTAATACCTTCCAGTGACAGTAATTCAGGCAGCTACAAATATGCCTAATTGATTTATTGTTCAGCCCACACGGCTTTATCAAAAGGGATATCACAGGAGAACTTGTCAGATGTCAAGATCAAGTTAAGCTCACCATCCCCCACCTTCTGCCCAGCAGTGAGAGGAAAGGGAGGACTGCTATCCTGACAACATTTGCTCTTGGTAAGCCATTACCAATTTAAGCAATCGCTGCTTCTTTAATAATGCATATCAAACTTGCATATCAAGATTATCTGAGGTTTAGAGATCTTCCTTTTTTCCCTTTTAAATGTTGAACATTTGCCCATCTCCAGTCTTCTAACATCTCGCCACCTCTCCATTCTTCCAATATTGTAGGAGGTTGGGAATCTTCTCTGCAATCCAGAGACTGTCCAGACCCAGAGACAGTATCGTTTTGAGCAGCTAGGTGTTTTTCTTCAATCTCCAGTTTACCTCAGACCTTGATTTCCTCTCACCATTGTTTGTTTTATCCTTATTGTTCGGAAAAGCTTTCTCCTTGACAACCATTGATTCATTCACTCCTTCATTTTGATAACAAATGTTTAAAGAGCCCACTCTGTGCCAGATATTGTATTAGGTACACTGAAGAATCGCTGGGGAACAAGACAGTTCCATCTCCTTCCTTAATAGAGCTGCAAATGAGTCGGGATATGCAGAGTTGATCATTGCTTGGGCAAGTTTGAAGTGCCATGGAGCAAAGAAGAGGGGCCATTAGGATCAGTGGCTAGAGAGGCCTCATGAAGATGCAGTGTTGACACAGAAGTCTGGCAGGTGATAGAAGTTAAGAGTAGCAAACAGGTAGGGAGAAGGGTGTTCCAGACCCTTCGTCTAATGGTCCAGAAGGGAGAGGAAGTATGAACCCTGCTTTGAACGTAACAGGATAGGGCTTTCTTTTACCCTTAAAGTTTTGTTAATAAGCTTTTGCTCAGTCTCTACTTGCCCTTTCTGACTTTGGCTCATGGCTTTGTCTCCTCTTTGCTTTGGTCATCATCTTCATTGTCCATGTACAGCATAAAGCTATTAAGGGCCAAAGTCATAGGTTTCCTTAGCACTCATCTCCTTCCCCTCCTGTGGTTGCTCATTCTGAATGAAGTTTGGTTGGGGCTTCCTTCGCCACCACCTTCTCTTTCCATGCCTGGTGCTTCTTTTCTCTGGACTCCTGAAAGCCGGCCTTCCCAACCCTTCAGCTAGGACCTGTCCCACTCCCATCCACCCTGTCCCACTCAGGTGTTCCCAGGCTAAGAGGCAATCTGCTCACTGCCTCCTGAGTGTCTGTTACTTCTCCATTATCACTAAGTGCCAAGGATTTGTCAGATTTCATCTTTTAACCTCCCCCAAAGAAAGAAAACCCACAACAGATGTTGGAAAAATGAATTCCCTCATTCAATTTACAGCCGTCGCATTCAGCTATCAGCACTGGAAGAGGGACTTCCCTGTTTTCTCCATCTGAAGCATCAGGAGGCAGTGAGTCCCACCGTGCATCTCTTGCTTTCCTTTCCTCTCAGGCTGCCCCTTCCTCCTTAGGATTGTATGTTTCCCCTATAACTACTGAATCTTTTTTTCTTAATGACATGTTAAGTTGGTTTTAATTATAAACTATTCATGAATAAGTCTCCTTTTAAAAATTTGAAACATTATAACTATAACTCAGCACCTCTGCCCCCAGCCACTTTCTACCTCCAGAGGTAATCACTGTGATCAGTCAGACTTTTTTCCAGAGCTCTTTTGCTATGTGTTTATATCCACAAATGGAATATCATGGAAAATACACCGTATTTGTTTTCTTGTTTTAAAAAGAACTCATACAAATGGTTTTATGCTATACATTCTATTTGGCAACTCGCTTTGTTCGTTCAGTAGAATGGTTTAGAAACCTGGCCATTAGTCCTTAAAGATCGGCCTGGCTCCTCTCTTAACTTCAGTACAGTATCCCAGAATTTAGACCTTGGGGTAGTTCCAAACTACCCCAAGACGTGTGTTTGCGTCTTTCTCTAGTTAAAGAGTGCCAGTTTTCTCACACCTTTGTCAACGCCTATCATAAAAAATTTGAATCTTTAACAGTGGGTTAAAATGGCCTTATTTCATTTGCACTTCCCTGATAACTAGTGAAGCTGTGCATCTTTTCATGTAGTTGTTGGGTATTTGGACTTCCTGTCAATTGTCTATTCATGGTCTATATATACCGCACATTTTTTCAACTCCTTGCCTAACCTTCAAGTCTTTTAGAGATTCTCTCCATTGAATGAAAGCATTGTAGCCACTTCGGATCTTTAAGAGGCAGTAGTTGGCTCTGACTGCCATAGCAAAATATCACAGATTGGGTAGCTTATACAACAGAAATTTATTTTTTCACAGTTCTGGAGATTAGAAGTCCAAGATCAAGGTATTAGCAGGGTCGGTTTCTCCTGAGGCCTCTCTTCTTGGCTTGATGTCTGCCTTCTTATTGTGTCTTCACCTGGTCTTCCCTCTGTGCATGTCTGTGTCCCAATTTCCTCTTCTTATTGAGTCACCCGTCTTATCAAATTAGTCCATTGGACAACGATCATATTGGATTAACAACCTCATTTTTACTTTAATTACCTCTTTAAATGCCCTATCCCCAAATATAGTTAGGACTTCAACATATGAATTTGGGAGGTACACCATTTAGCCCATAACAGCAAGGTAGAGGGAAGAGGCCCAAGTGCCAGAGACTGGGAAGCCAGGTACACACTTGTTTCTCCTGGAAATGGGCCCTGGCTGCAGGTGAGGTCAGCCCCCCTAAGTCAAGAAGACTGTCTCCAACATGATTTTGACAAGTGGCTGACTAGTTCTCTTCTCCCCCAACCCCCAAGGTGCTCCAGCTCCTGGTTCACTTGGCCACACTCACCATGTGTGAAGAGGAGACCACTGCACTTGTGTGTGACAATGGCTCTGGCCTGTGCAAGGCCGGCTTCGCAGGAGATGATGCCCCGCGGGCTGTCTTCCCTTCCATCGTAGGCCGCCCTCGCCACCAGGTGTGTGCTTATCTGTATACAAGGCTTTGAGCCACTAGGAGTAAGCACTGCATTGTGGAGACTACGTTACGCTGTGTTCGTGTGTGTGTGTGTGTGTGTGTGTGTGTGTGTGTGTGTGTGTGTTGGGGGGG